GTACCTTAAGGTTCCTCGTCTAGTTTTTATCGCTAACCTACTCAACTCTCTCTCTCTCTCTCTCTCTCTTTCTCATCGAGCTAAGGTTTATACAGAGAGATTTTTTTCTAGGGTTTGCAAAAATTCAGTATTTGAATCATATATGAACCCAAACAATAAGCGAAAGCTCGACAAGAATAGCGATTTTCTGGCGAACTATGACATTGAAGCGACCCAACTTTCCCTATAAGATGCTCGGAAGATCTCTCTCTCTCTCTCTCTCTCCCATTTACCCTCGTTATTGTTGGAAAATGGCTTTGATGTTTTGGGAAAAAAAAAACCTTACTTTTTGCTAACTTTGAGCATTAATTAAGGTGGGACCCAAGTGTTATTTTTAACATTACTAATTGGGTTCATGTTTAATGCTGTGTAGTGAATAAAATCGTGTATTTGGTTGCCCAAAACCATTTCTAGATGAATGAGAATTCGACGCGCATTTTCGGGTTCGTGGAAATGACTTTAGATGGGTTTCTTACACATTTGTGAAATGTACTTGTTCCACATTGGAAAGGCTTAAGGATTTGTATGGATATATATACTTTAGCTTGGGATACTTGGGATGGGCCCTAAGGGGTACCTAAGTTTGTGAAAGGGTGAAGTTATAGGTAAAAGGGGTTAGACCCATTGGACCCAAAACAAAAATCACGCGTCCACCGCCATCCATCTAGTCGGTCGGACGAGCTGGGCTGGGCTGGGCATAGATGCGTGGTGTGAGGTTGGGTTGGGTTTTTCCGGCCTAATACTTATTCTTTTTTTGGGCCAAAAACATTTGTAATTTATTTATTTATTTATAATTTTGGTTTCAAAATTCAAAATAAATTGGTTTAGTCTTATTTTTTTTCACCCAAACAGATCCCAAACAGGTTTACCCACCCAAATAAGTTCAAAATAGGTTCATACCTGTTGAATTCAAACCGAACAGATTTGTTGTCATGACCCAACCCCAGGGGCTTAGGTTGGAATCGCAACTTACTAATTAATTCTAATCTTAACAAATTAAATGACACAGGCGGAGGTAGAGTGGTGTAAAGAAAACAATGGAACAGAAAATTAACTTCATTCTACTATTTTGATAAAAGAAAATACATCTATAGGGCTTTTATTATTTTATTATTCAGTGATTGGCCCTCAGTAAAAAAACAAAAGGAAGAAAAGGAAAGAAAAACAAAATAATGGATCAGCATCAAATTCTTGTACAGGTTCCACTACATGAGGTTACGGGTTTTCTTTACATCTTGTCACCTAAAAGGGTAACAACTATAAGCACACAATAGAGTGAGAAATATTATGCCAAGAGTATATGTAACGCCCTCAAAATAATAACATTAAACCCATCTGTAAAGGGACATGCATTGATACATAAAGGTCCACATTCATCTATTCATCAAGGTTTTTCATTACAACAGTATTACATGTTTACAACACAAAAGCAAATGCCCTACGGGCTTACAGCTTTCCAAGTTAACACTTGGTTACAAAAGAGAATGCTAACTTAATTACACCTTAAGCCCTAGGCTTAAAACTATATGTAATGCAATTAAGGAAAATAAGACAGCCAAAGTATGTCCACCTCTAGCCTCCCAAGCTATGTCCTTAGAAGTGGCATGCTACCTGTACCTGAAAAGATGTCCCCATATAGGGTGAGCCACAGCCCAGTAGAAATATATTAAACCAACTATGAACAATGACTAAGAGATTAGCAACTGGTAGATGGTCAACACTTACATTTCCATTTACATCTTATTACAATTCCATGACGGTCAAGTCTAGGTTACAATTCACCTTCCATTTCTTATTCAACTTTGAGTTTGAAAACAAGGTTCAGTACTCTGGCCAAAACATTTGATGAGCTTATAGTTCATCACTAGAACATTTTTGACATTCAAGGTGGATACACATTTTGGTGTTGTATTAATAACACATAAAATACTTCCATACTTCACAAACGATGATGACATACATTTTAGTGTTATATCAAATCAAACAAACTTTTCAATAGATAAGCATATGAGCTATATCACCACTACAACAGATAAGCATATGAGCTATATCAATACTTCAACAGATAAGCATATGAGCTATATCACTACTTCAACAGATAAGCATATGAGCCATATCACTACTACAACAGATAAGCATATGAGCTATATCACTACTACAACAGATAAGCATATGAGCTGTATCAACATTCCAATAGATAAGCATATGAGCTGTATCAACACTTCAATAGATAAGCATATGAGCTGTATCAACATTTCAACGGGTGAGCATATGAGCTGCATCCCTGGGTCCATCCCCCATCTTCCCTAAACCATTAACTAGTTTAGAGGTACATCCCCCATTTTCTCCTAAACCATTAACCAGTTTAGAGGTACATCCCCCATCTTCCCCTAAACCGTGGAGTACATCCCCCATCTCCTCCCATACACAAGTAATGCATATAAACACAGAATCACATACGCAATCAATCATTACAAAAAGTTAATGTATTCCATCAACTGTCTACACATAATGCATATAAACACATTGGCCATATGCACAATCAACCAACACATAAAGTTAATGTATTCTATCAACCGTCATACTCTATGACGCATCCAATTGATTAGTTTTAGTTTGCCTAATCATCATGCATTGTCTACAACAATCAACACTACCCTCCACCGGTAGCCCAAAGCAATTATTTCTAAGCAGGAAATAAATGCACAAATGGATAATATATCCACACTTCAACTAGATGAGCAATAAAAGATTCGACTACTCTCTTTAGTCCCATACATTCCCAATTTCAACATTCTCAATTCAATTTCTCGTTTTCTTTAATTAATTATATGCGTTAATTAATTAAACCAATTAGGGCAAATTACCATAATTCACAAAACAACCCTAAGGCTCCATTTCCATCAATGTCCCAACATTAATCTCATTTCTCTATGCCTAACATGCATATAGGTTTATATATTTAAAAACCCAACTTTTGTAAAATTGCACAAAGGCCCAAACTATCTCAATATTTCCCAACAACCCCCGACATATCAAAATGCTAAAATTCAAAGACAAAGCTCATAAGATGGAGTAGGTTATCCCTACCTCGAATGATGGGGCTCAACGAAGGAGATGAAGAAACGGAAATGCTCCAAATCCCGAAATTTTCAGATCAAAAGATAGCCCTCGACGATCAACACAACTTTTGTAAAGACCAAAGGTAAGGAGAACACCCTAGCTAGATCAAACCCTAGAGAGAAGGGAGATTCTAGAGAGAGGAGCTCTCAAAAATGGGTTTTTGAAAAAGTAGGAGAGAGAAAGAAAAGTGAAAAGTGATTTAAAATCACCCAGCGGATAACTCATATACGCACGACCCGCTCGAGCTGAGAATAGAACGCTCGAGCGTCAGACACAAATATCTGGTACCGCTCGAGCGTAAGGATAACCGCTCGAGCGCCAAGGAACAAAAGCAAAACACATCCGCTCGAGCATGAAGAACCAGTCCGCTCGAGCGCAGATTTTCATCTCCCAGAACTTTTCAGAAAGAGAACTACCCGCTCGAGCTTCAACAATCCCGCTGGAACGCGACTCGCTCGAGTGCAAGAAACCCGCTCGAGCGTAGAAAACACTCCTGCAGAAGTTTTGCAGGGCCACGAAATACTAGAGATGTATAAACCCCGCTCGAGCGGACAACCAAAAACCAAACTCCGCTCGAGCTCAGGATGACCCGCTCGAGCGCAACACCAAAAAAATCTGGGCAGCAACACTAGAGACCAAAACTCAATCTACCCGTTCGAAACATGCCCAACACATCCTAAAACTCAAACACTAAGAATAAAGGATAGAAACGAGAATAAGACGACAACACAACCACAGAACCGAGTCCGGATTACAGTTAAGCACGAAAGGGAAAACCAGGATCGCTATAGTATAGGGAACACAAAATAATCATGGATAGTTAGTTAAGCTAAAACATTTACATAACTTAATTTGAATAAACAAATTATTCAAATTGGTAGAAACTGAAATACAAAAATTGTGTAAATAAATAACCATAACCATGGGTATAGAACATAATAGAACAGAGGTCACAAGAGTGACAGTCAGAACAGAAGTCAATGGATCCATGACAAATACAAGACCACAAAGTGGCCAAATAGAGGCCAATGGTTATTTAAGTCCCCTAAGGCATGTGACTCCCATAGTGGTAAGTACAGAAAATAATTGTTTAGAAAAACATTGTCAAATAATTTCTAAAAATTTAAACAAACATATTCATGATTTTCAATTTAAACAAATGGAGTTCATAAAATAATTAACATAATTGAAATATAAATATAAGTTATAAGACATAACTTGTATAAAATAAATTATGGTAATTCAAAACATACGCAAAATATATTATGGTAACTCAAGGTATAATATAGCTCACCTTTATATTAATTCCTACTATTTCCTTCCTATTTATGCTGGCTTCTCGAGACTATTTTCTTCCTCATTTCTGTCTCTCTCTTCTTCTTCTTTTTTTTTTTTTTTATTTTTTTTTTTTAAATTATGTCTACGGAGAAGAAACACTTTTTTTTTAAAAATATATGTTTTACTTCCTCAATATTATAAAAGAAACAAAAATCTCAAAATATTCAAATCCTTGGTACCACTAAAATTATTTTCAATAGTTTTGTAACGACTTCAAATTTCTATTTTATAATATGTTGTTAACGGAACACCATCTAAGCTGTACATAGATCTTGAATTTATAAAGAAAAGGTAACAGTTCTTGTTTGTTTTTGTTTTTGTTTTTGAACATTGAAAATATGCCCAAGGCTGCCTCAAAGGAGGCAACAGAGGAAAGAAGAAATTGCAAAAAAATGTTCACAAGAAAATTACAATCACATTATGTACCCAACTGCTAGCTATGCAATCTTACCAACAAACTAATAGCATTTGCATGTAAAATTTAAACTGATTGATAATTCTTATGTGAAATCTCGAAGACAGCTAACACTAACTTGATTAATCATAAAAACGAAGTGCTTAGCAAATATTGTAAACATCAAAACATTCCAATTTGAGAAAGCACAACACAAGTAGACGTAAGTCTTCCTACAATCCTACACAGGGTCTTGCCTAGAATATCCCATCTATGGGGCTAATGTACAACAGACATGGCACAACGAAACAAAAACCACAATTTCATCTCATCTGCCCCCTTCCCCTGCTTTTTCTGTTGTGCCTGCTCGGATACCTCCCCTGTTGTTTTTCAACCATGTTCGTGGTTTCGCCCATCAAGCTGCGTTCTGGATTCAGTTCCTGCGACAACTCCTCACGAGGCATGCTAGAACTGTGATCAGAGCCACTTGCAACGCTATTGGTTTCATATAAAACTGGGACATCAACGGAAGCTTCACACAAAAGCTTACATGTCTCCTCCCCAGGGGGGACTTTATTAGCCAACTTGTCATGGTTCTTGTCATCTGAGGGTCTAGGGTTTGCTTTGGTATCTCCTGCAAACGAACTGAATGAAAGAAAACCAGAATTATTTAGATCCAATTCACTCAAATATGTCAATGGAAGGAACGGAATCAGTCAGCCTTTCACCTATATCCTGAATAAGGGAAACCGTTAGCATTTTGTTTGCCTCTCGATTCAGTCTCTTCTTTGGCATTAGAACAAGTTCTGTCACTTGATCTTAAATCTGTAGATACATTCAGAGCTAAGATGAGGTATAAAGCAGCAAGATGAACAAATTATAAATAAATAATTAAATATATTAAAAGAAAATTGTAAAAATGTCATTAAGAGACTAGGACAATAACCAAAAATGATGTAAGTGCAGATCTTTCTGCTCAAGGATGAGCGGAGGGGAGAGGGGAGGGGATCAGGATATTATAAACTCAGAAACTCCCTTGTGGAGACATCTGACAAAATTAATTGAATAAACTAACCCCCCCTTTATTTTATAGAAATTGCCCCCACTTTCCGGGCATGATATTTGCATCACCTAAACAATATGACATAAAATAAAGTTCCAGACTTATTGCCAAAAAAAACAGAGAGGCAACCTACCTTGCTCTAAGGCAAGATTCGGAGATTTAGAAGCAGCAGGTTCTTCTCCCTCAACAGTCCAATGGACAACCGTCCACAAATAGTAGGCAGCCAGCCACAAAAATCTGCTTCCAGGCCCGACTTCAAACGGGTATATCACCTTCATCCGGACTTAGTTTTAGGTGATTCTTGAGTCTAAATTGAAGTCCTGAAAGTATAATTTCCAATGGTGGCATCCTCATATCCAAATTATAAGTGTGCAAAGAGATATGCCTATTTTAGTGAAGGTTGCTCATTTCTTTCCTAACGGATTGATGCCCAACTTCCAATGGCCATATCTCCCTCATTCGGACTCGGCTTTAGGAGATTCTTAGTCTGAATTGAAGCCCCAGAAGTCCAATTTCCAATAGGGGTGGCCTTACACCTAAAGTCCAAGTGTACAAAGAGATAGGTCTGATTTAGTGAAGACTACTTAGTTCTCTCTTAACGGTTTCATGCTCAACCATTTCCCCAACAAGTTTTCTTCCATCCCCTCCTATTTTCTTCAGCTCCAAACCTATAAATAAAATGTTTTAAATATTTTTCAAAGAGTTCACCTCCTTTCCATTTATTTCCACTTTGTCCTTACTCGGTTTACCGAAAAGTGCAATATTTTAAACGAAATACGAGTCTCGGAACATCGCAGAGACATTTGAAAAAAATATTTTGAAAAAGAGGGTTTTAAGGTCTAAAATAGTTTTGGTTAAAATAGTTTTGGTACAAATGGTGTGTAAGGTTGGGATTTAGAAGCTCTTCTTACTGAAGAAATCGAACGTTTGTACAACATAACTTTCATCATCGAGTGATTAACCTAAGGTGCCCAAGTCTTATGGGCGGTCAAAAATGGGGTGTCTACAGAGTGACAGTCAGAACAGAACTCAATAGATCCATGACAAACAGAGGACCACAAAGTGGCCAAATAGAGGCCAATAGTTATTTAAGTCCCCCAAGGCATGAGACTCCCGTGGTGGTACGTACAAAAAATAATTATTTACAAAATCATTGTCAAATAATTTTTAAAATTTAATCCATGGGCTTCAATTTAAGAAATGGAGTTCATAAAATAATTAAGGTAATTGAAATATAAATATAAGTTATAAAACATAACTTGTATAAAATAAATTATGGTAATTCAAAACATACATAAAATATATTATGGTAACTCAAGATATAATATAACTCACTTTAATATTAATTTCTACTATTTCCTTCTTATTTACGTTGGCTTCTCGAGACTATTTTCTACCTCATTTCTGTCTCTCCTTTTTTTTTTCTTCTTCTTTTCCTCTCGTTCCTTTACTCCTTTCATAGCCCCTCACTCTTTTATATACACAAACCCCTGGGTGATGAATCACCCAGTCATGATGCCTTAAATTGGTGACTCACTCCCCCTAAGAGCTAGATGGCACAGGTGGCGCAACATCTTTCTCTCCAGAAATTTACAAATCTACTTAATTAATTGCTAATTAATTGCTCTTGGCCTTATCATTATTAGTATGCTTAGTAATATTGTTACTATTTCCTACTATTATTATCATTATTATTCTTATTCCATATATTTATTTTGTTATTATTATTATTATTATTTATTTATTCATTTATTTTTTTTAATAATATATTATCACATACAACCATAATTATATATAGCTATAAATATTTATGTGGTATTTAATTAAACATTCAAGGTGTCACATTTGTATCTATCCGAACAATTTCCTATCTGTTGGCACCTGTTCGGAAAAGCCACATGCTCTTCTATATAAAGCCTTTCATTCTAGCAAATTCTTTCAATCGAATTTTTCCCTCAGAATTTCATCATTCTTCTTCTGTTTGTCTCTGTGTTTCTGCATCTGTTTTGCATTTAATTTTTAGGAAGAAAAGGAGAGAGTCACGGCAGAGCTTTGGTTCGCCAGACTTGATTTAGTAGTGCTGCAAATCAAGTGTTAGTCATTGCATCCTGGGAAGTAGATGTCGGTAAATCTCGAAGTACTGCAGCGAGGGCGAAATCTATTTTAAGGAGATTGTATCCAACACAAGCCTCGACGTTTAAAGTTTCTGTAAGCTATTAATTTAGAATTTAATTTATTTAATTATTTTTGAATTATTTTATTTTGTTGTTTATTTTAATTATACATTTAATTTACACACACAAACCACTGTGGGAATAACAATCTTAAAGTAGATTTCTGGTTTTTTTTTTATTTTTTTTATTTTTTTTATTTGTGTGTTAGACAGACGGATATTTTGTTTCAGGAAATTAAATAATAGTCACATACTATTTAATTTCTTAAATAGTAGTAATATATTGTTTAATAATTTCTTTGATAACATAGTAGTCATATACTGTTTATCATTGGAATTTTGTTACAAAATATTATTCCGCATTTTTTGTGTGTAAATTCTATTCTGTATAAATTTGTGATTGGTTTATTATTACTTCTTTGGAAAAATGACTACTAACAGGCATGAGACTGTTATTACTTCGACCCCCACACCTGTTGTGCCAGTGATGACTCCGACAGTACTAGTAAATCATGGGGAGAAGCCAGAAAAATTTAATCGAAATGATTTTAAAAGATGGCAACAAAAATGATGTTTTATCTTACGACATTGAATTTGGCTCGCTTCACTCATGAAAAAGCCACGACACTGAACGAGAGAGAAACTGACCGGCAAGTGGTTGCCGCAGTTGATGTATGGAAACATGGTGATTTTCTGTGTCGGAATTATATCCTCAATGGGTTGGACAATACACTATGCAATGTGTATAGTGTCAAAAGCACTGCAAAAGAACTGTGTGAATCTCTAGATCATAAATATAAGATAAAGGATGCTGGTACAAAGAAATTTACTGTCGGCCGTTTTTTGGATTTTAAGATGATAGATTCCAAGACGGTTATTAGCCAGCTTCAAGATCTCCAATTAATTCTCTATGACATACATGCGGAAATGATGGTTCTCAGTGAATCTTTCCAAATAGCGACAATCATTGAAAAATTGCCACTATCCTAGAAAGAATTCAAGAATTATCTAAAGCATAAGCGCAAGGAGATGAAATTAGAGGAACTAATAGTGTGACTTAGAATTGAGGAGGACAACCGTGGTTCCGACAAGAAGTCAGGAAACCATATCATGCAGGCTAAAGTAAATGTTGTGGAACATGGACAAGGGTCAAATTTCAACAAGAAGCGAAGGCATGATGGCAATGGTCCTAAACAAGAATCCACTAGTAAGATCAACAACTTGATCAACAACGAGTTCGACAAGAGGTTCAAAGGCAAGTGTTTTGTGTGCGGCAAAGATGGACAACGCTCTAAGGATTGTCACGTTCGCAAGGATGCAATGACTTCAAGCAAAAAGCCGACACAAGCCAACATAGCTGAAGATTTTTATCTTTCCGATGGAGCGGTAGACATTAATCTTGTTGCAGTAGTCTCTTAAGAAAATTTGGCGGGCAATCCCAAGGAGTGGTGGGTGGATACTAGAGCAACCCGCCATATCTGTGCAGATAAGAAAATGTTCACAACCTACAAAGTGGTGGAAAGTGGGGAACAACTTTTTATGGGAAACTCTTCCACATCAACTGTAGAAGGACAAGGAAAAATTGTACTGAAAATGACATCGAGGAAAGAACTCACGCTTAACAATGTACTTCATGTGCCAGAAATTTGCAAATAGGTTTATATTAGTCTTTGAATCTGACAAGGTTGTACTCTCCAAGAGTGGAATGTATGTGGGGCGAGGTTACATGAGTGATGGGCTTTTTAAGCTCAATGTAATAATTGTTGTACCTAATTTGGCTATTAATAATAAGAACACATCTTCTATTTATATTGTTGAGTCTTCTTTTTTATGGCATGGTAGATTAGGACATGTTAATTTTAATTCTTTGCGTTGACTTATTTCTTTAGAATGTTTGCCAAACTTAGAGTTTGATCCCAATCATAAATGTGAGATTTGTGTTGAGGCAAAACTCACTAAGGCATCATTTAATAAAGTAGAAAGAAGTACTGAACCTCTAAATTTAATTCACACAGATATCTGTGATTTAAAATTTGTTAAAATTAGAGGAAGTAAAAAATATTTTATTACTTTTATTGATGATTGCACTCAATATTGCTATGTTTACTTATTGAAAAGTAAAGATGAAGCCTTAGAAGATTTTAAGCAATACAAACTTGAGGTTGAAAATCAACTTGGCAAAACTATTAAGGTAGTGAGGAGTGACAGAGGTGGTGAGTATGATACACCATTTGAGGAATTTTGTTCTGTACATGGTATTATTCACCAAACCACTACACCCTATTCTTCTCAGTCAAATGAAGTTACTGAGAGAAAGAATCAAACTCTTAAAGAGATGATAAATGCCATGTTGACTAGTTCAGGGTTACCTCAGAACTTATGGAAGGAGGCGATTTTGTCTGCTAACTTTATCTTTAATAGGGTACCCCACAAGAAAATTAATCAAACACCTTATGAATTATGGAAAGGTCGACGACCTACCTACAATTACCTCAAAATGTGGGGGTGTTTGGCCGAGGTGGTAGTCCCTAGTCCCAAAACGACCAAGATAGGACCAAAAATCGTTGATTGTGTGTTCATTGGTTATACAAATAATAGTAGTGCATACAGATTCTTAGTTCATAAATATGAAAATCCTGATATGCATGTAAATACTATTATTGAGTTTAGGAATGCATTGTTTTTTGAACACATTTTTCCTTGGAAGAAAACTAAAGAGTTTAAAACTTTCGAAACTGAAGAGAGAAGTTCAAATAAAAGAACTTTTGATACTGCTATGGGTAGCTGTGAAGAATACAATGATAATGAAGTAGATGAAACTAGACGCAGCAAGAGGGCTAGGATCTCTAAATCATTTGGACCAAATTTTCTGACATACTTGTTAGAAAATGAGCCTCAAAACTTCAAGGAAGCAATGTTAAGTTCTGAAGCTCCATTGTAAAGAGAGGCTGCGAATAGTGAAATTGAATCAATACTGCAAAATCATACTTGGGAACTGGTGGATCTTCCACCAGGGTGTAAACCTCTTGGATATAAGTGGATATTCAAGAGAAAAATAAATGCAGATGGTTCAATTGATAAATACAAGGCTAGGCTTGTTGTTAA